TTTAAAAAATTATAATAATGATAATTATTGGGAAATGCATGGAAAAGACATTGAATGATAAAGCGGGGAGATTGATGTCTCTGTATTGACTGACATGCATGGCATTCCCTTTTGAAAAAGCAATGGAAGTCAATGTAAAGTTATATGTAACCCAATGTAATATAAAGAAGATTATGATGATAATATAAATAAATTTAAATAAATTAAATTAAATTAAAAAAAAAAAAGCAGTAGCTGACCAAATTGTTAAAAAAGGTGATGTTAGTCAGGTGGGCATTTGGGGTAGGAGCCCTCTAAAGAGAGTGGGCAGACTATGCAAAGATCATGAGATGAGAGCATGCTTGACATGATCTAAGGAATGCACAGTGATGAGAGCAGAAGTGAGAGCTAGGGTAGTGGGACATGTGAGGATAGAGGCTGTAGGGAGGAAGGCTGGGTGGGCAGCAATAGGGCAGCAATTGCGAGGTGTGGTCAAAGTATCAGGTTATTTCCCAACTGTCACTTAATCGTCACACCCAGCCTAATTTTACCTTGAACCTTTATTGCTATATTGGAGATGCCTTCTTCTTTGCTCTAGTTTTCCCCGGCCTTGTAAATGTGTTTTCTTCTGCACGTGTTGTTCACGTTGTTCCACAGGTGGAGTGGCTACAGTTGTCTCTCCTTATTCACAGGGTTACGTTCCAACACCCTTGCGGATATCTGAAACCATTGATGATACTTAGCACTACTCATACACTAGGCTTTTCACTACATGTGAGTACATGTCATAGGGTTGAATTTATAAATTACCATAGTGAGAGATCACCAAGCATAACTACTAATACAATAGAGTAATTATAAGAATATCCTGTAATAAACAGTATATGGATGTAGTCTCTGTCTCTCTCAATCAGTAGACACTGTCCCTTTATCTCTTTCAAAAAATCTGCTATTTTCAGACCAGAGTTGACCACAATTAGCTGAATCCTCAGAAAACAAATCTGTGGGTAAGTGGTAACTACTATGTTTCTGTTTTTAAATCTATCCCTAACAAAATCCATTATATTTCACTTGATTTTTTTTTTCCTTCTAAAAGATCCAGGGAGCTATAATGTGTTTCCTTGTTCCAACATCTCTTTCCACACTGTAGATTCAAATAGAATTTACCTCCTTCAAGAATCACTGGCAAAGCAGATATGGATCTTGCTCCATAGTCTACAGTGCTCTCTGGTTTCTGCTGCCAATGCCCACCTCGCTAAGTTTCCAACTGCAAAGTCCATCCCTGCAGTTGAAGGACCATGTTCACCTCAGATACCTCACTATACTGCACCCTCAAAGCCTTGAGAAGTACTTTATTGTAATGTGACACAAGGCTGAGGCCAGGGACAAGTGCCCCTTGTGTTGTGCCCATTTTTTGGCTCCCAAGAGAGATCAAAGGACTTCTCCAAGGTTACACAGAACTGAGATTATAACTGAAAAGGTCTGGATCTAAAGCCTGTGCTTCTATCCACCTATCTATAGGATATCCTGGCATCACTTTGAGCAGATGACTGCCCGATCCCCTTCCCAATTACCAAACAGGGCAGGTGTTCAACAGATAGATTAGTTAGTCTGTGGAACAAACAGATGCCATGTAATCTCAGTACTCAAAAGTGTTTTACCTGTCAGACCACTCAGGGGTCTTGGGTGAAAGGTCTGGAAAACAGGGTAATAAGTGAGAGAGTGAAGCCTCTCTTTGCTTCGCTCAATTTCTTTCCTTGAGTCCCTGGGCCTGATTGGTTAAACACTATGTGTCATGGTGACTCACAATGGACCTGGGAACCCAGTGACCTCACTTGTTGGCAAGATCCAACTGCCCAGTATCGCCTAGGTAACTTCTGGTCCAGGGTAGAATAGGAAGAAAAGAAGTGGCCGGAAGGAGGAGTGGAAATTAAACTCCCAAGCAGAAGCATAGTCTCAGGTAGAACTTCTTATCTGCTTCTTAAGCTCTGAATCCAGCCTTGCTCATGGCCCTATTATTCCCCCTGTATCAGACATATTTCACCTCAACTGGGTGCATAATACAGACATTTCCACTCTGAACAGTCAGACATCTCCAGCTGAGTTACCTTCCAGTCTCTGATCCTGGCTTTCAGCAAGATCACACTGAGGATGAGACTTTGTACATTTATAGTGTCATTCTACTGAAAAACTGATGTGACTGTTAGGAGGAGGTGGGAGTGGCCTCCACACTGGCTGATCCATTCTGTCACACGAAACAACTGGGGGAGTTGAGGCATGGAGTGTGTACGAGGAGCCCAGAAGGCTCAGTCATCTAGGCTTCCTCCTACCCCACAAAGAACCATGTAAAAATTCTCTGACTCCTGTGTTCTGTGTATAAAATAAATTGTAGAGAGATGAGGACTTACTAGTCAGACTTTTTTTATTAACAAGAGGAAGTGAAATATTGTTTTTCTCCTTCAGGAGTGCCTTTCTAGAAAGCCGTGTAACATACCTAGAGTAGGACAGGAGATGGATACCACTTAAATACATAAATATTTGCTTACCTTTCTAATTAAGAGGGAACATTGCAGAAATAAAATATCCTTTTCACATTGGTCACAAACATAAAACAAGTATGAATATGATTCAGGAAAACTTATAAATGGAATTCATTTGAAATTCTATTTTGGACATTAAAATAATAGTTTAAGGGGCCAGCAGGTGATGTGATGGCTAATGGTGCTGGACTCCCACATGGGTGACTGTGGTTTGAGTCCCAGACCTGGAGGCTTGCTTTCTCACTTCTCCCCCCCTCTCTGTATCTCTCTGGAAATACTGAAAAATAATAATAGTAAATAAAGTTAAAATAATTCTTAAAAAATAATAATAGTTAAAAAATTGTTAATTTGTTACAAAAAGAAAAATTTTTAAAATGCCATTTGTTCTCCTCAAAGTTAATCTACGAATTCAATGCAGCCCCAGTCATAAAACACAAGATTTGAGTGTGTGTATATTGAACTGGGTGATGAGCTTACCAAATTTTATCTTCAACATAAAATGTGGAAGATTATCTATGAGAAGAAGTTCGTCTTATTGGCTATCAAAATGTATGCTGGTGTGCCTGCAGCTTCTGAGAGGAGAGAACTGAGACCAGTTGCATCCAGACTCCGAAGTGTGTATTCCTGGACACCCAGGAGGGAATGTCTGGCTTGCACTAGTCAGTGAACCTCATCCTGCCTCCATTGAACATCAGTCAGTTGAGACCTGTCTTGTAAACTGTGAAGCCTTGGTTCCTCATTTCTCCCAGACTGTGCCTCAGCTTCTCCTTCTCAGCACCCACCAGAGGGCACCACCTGGTTACAATCCTGGTGAGTAGCACCATGAGCAGAGGGAGAGGGAGGGCTGGGACAGGAAGACATGAGTCTGTGTGTGTGGGGTTCACTGTCAGAGTGAGGGGAGGACATAGCCTTGCTCTTCCCTTCCTGGTTTGAATTGGGCTTTTCTGTCCCTGTCCTGGTAGACACTCCAGGGAATGTACCCAGGCACTTTGCCCACATGGTAGGCAGTGTAGAGACAATGTCCTTAGGGTGTGCTGTGCAGGTATAGGGGTGACTGCAGGTCTCCTCAGTGGCAAACATAGAGGCCAGAACATGCTTGTGGTGTTTGAACATCCTCTACAATGAAAGAAGGGCATCAGGGACCAAAGGACATGTAGCCTATGGCAGTTGTCCAAGGTCCATCTGGAGGCATCACATACTTTGCTGTCTGTGGATGGAAAGTACTGGTTTACAATAAACCGTTGTTTCTCCTATGACCTTGTACTGTGGCCCTAAGTGTTAGTGGAGTAGCCACAGTTCCAGGAAGAGGTAACTTAGCTCCATAGTCTTTTCAGGACAAATTCTCCATTCAGAACATAACAGTGTAAGTGCCGAGGATTTTATGTAAATTCCCTTGATAAAAATTTCACCCTTTTAAATTTTGGTAACTATACAGTCCATTATATTTACTACATTACCAGTGTTACAATAATCTAGCTTGGTTAGAGCATTTTAGTTACCTGAAAAGAAACAAAACCATCATATACAGCTACCAGGGATCCACTTTCTGTCTCTGGAGTGCTTCCTGTTCCTGATGTTCCACATAAACAGAGTCACTCAGTGCATGGCCTTTTGTGTCCTGCCTTGCTCACTCTGACCATTTCTATGATTCACCAGTGTTGTGACATGAATGAGGGCTTCTTTTTTTATGTTTGTGATTAAATATACATGAGATAATTTTACCATTGAAGACATTGTTTTGGTGTCATGTGCAGTGTCTTAAACAGGGTGTCACTGGGTTGTGATCCCCTCACCTCAGCTTCCTGAGTAGCTGAGTACACAAGTGTAGAACACTACATCTTGCCTTTTAGGATGGACACTGAACTCAGGCTTCCCATGTGATCTCTGCCTGCAACTAACACTGTTCAGTGTGTGTTTCCATACTTGGCGCTAAACTTTATTTTTAGATGAGACAGATGAGAGAGAAAGAAAGGATGTGGCATAGATAGGTATTTTTTGACATGGTCTCTCTGTGTTGTAATCAGCTGCCCCAGACTTCCAATTTCCTGGGATTACAGGTGCACACTGCTGTACTTGGTGTATTCATGTCGGCCCAGGACCTGAATCTCCATCTCCTTCTGTCCTCTATTTTTCCAAGTGGTGGCACTATCTGTGTGCTAGCGCAGCTTGTGATAGACCATTTCTCTTTTTTAATAAATAAATGGAATGTTTATTACTTGTTTTGTTTTTTGCTGCAGAACTGTTGCTTCAACTGTATAAATTTGCCCCAGCAAATGCAGTATACGGCAAAAGTAAAATAGTAATATTTCTTCACATTATACAAAACACCAAAACTCTTTTCTACTCTCAGTTATTTCCAGTGGAGATTATTATGTATTTTGACTTAGACCCAGGGGTGGATA